GTGTGTCACGTTTGGTTCAATTCCATTGCTGGTGGAGGTCAGAATGCTCTTTGATTGTAGGTGAACTATAGATCCTAGCAACTACAACACCCAAATGTCAAGGTCTATTTTTCCCAAACCACCAGTGTTCACATTTGGTCATATTAAGTATTCGCACCAAGTTTGGTCCAGATCCATCATTGTTTGAGTCCACAGTGCTGTCTGGACATAGGTGAACTACAACTCCCAAACTCAAGCTCAATGGGGCCAGAATAAAGAAGGGGAGCCAGGAGGACATTGCCATCTTGTCCCCTGTGACATCAGCGCCCCTCCCCCAACACCAACGGCCACTCTGGGGCCAGAATAAAGAAGGGGAGCCAGGAGGACGTTGCCATCTTGTCCCCTGTGACATCAGCGCCCCTCCCCCAACACCAACGGCCACTCTGGGCCAGAATAAAGAAGGGGAGCCAGGAGGACGTTGCCATCTTGTCCCCTGTGACATCAGCGCCCCTCCCCCAACACCAACGGCCACTCTGAGGCCAGAATAAAGAAGGGGAGCCAGGAGGACGTTGCCATCTTGTCCCCTGTGACATCAGCGCCCCCCCCCCAACACCAACGGCCACTCTGGGGCCAGAATAAAGAAGGGGAGCCAGGAGGACGTTGCCATCTTGTCCTCTGTGATATCAGCGCCCCTCCCCCAACACCAACGGCCACTCTGGGGCCAGAATTGTTTTTATACTATGTCTTGAATTTTGTTGTTCCTATGTTGTAAACCGCTGTGAGTCGCCCCTGGGCTGAGAACAGCGGTATATAAGCAAAGTAAATAAATATAAATAAATAAATGCCCACCAATCCCTTCCAGTATATTCTGTGAATCATGACAATTCTGTGTGCCACTTTTGGTTAATTCCATCACTGGTGGAGCTCAGAATGCTCTTTGAGTGTAGGTGAACTATAAATCCCAGCAACTACAACTCCCAAATGACAAAATCAATCCCCCCAACCCCACCAGTATTCAAATGTGGGCATATCAAGTATTTGTGCCAAATTTGGTCCAGTGAATGAAAATCCATCCAGCATATCAGATATTTACATTACAATTCATAACATGAGCAAAATTACAGTTATGAATTAGCAACGAAATTAATGTTATGCTTGGGGGTCACCACAACATGAGGATCTGTATTAAGGGGTTGCAGCATTAGGAAGGTTGAGAAACACTGGCTTAAATTATGTCCATAGACAAGTGTCTTCTATCAAAACCCAGGTGAGGAGACCAATGGCAGCGTCGGTGTTTTTGATCCCAATATCAAGGTCAAGATCAGAAAGAGATCCCTTTCTTTGCGAGGAAACAGCCTGATAAACGCCAGAGTGAATGAGCTATCCGTCCCTCAGCTGCTGAGGAGGTAAATGTCATCTCAGGCCAAAATCAAGGCCGTCTTCACACACAGGTCTCCGGAGGGCAAGCGACAGGACGGGATCTGCTCCGGCCTTCAAACAAAAGCCTTTCCTTCTGCCTTTTCAAGGAGTGGGTTTGCATACATACAGGAGAATGTCATTTGCCTCTCCCAGATAGGAAATGTCAGCAGTCCTCTGCCGAACCTTCCAGTTTGCCTCCAGAAATGGAAAAAAGGGAGATATTTAAAGGGTGCAAGAAGAGGAAAGTGCAGCTCTAAATAGCTCATAAGACCACCCCCCCCCCCATTCTTTATATCTATATCTTTCCGGTCAAACCTTGCAGTGTGGATAGATGAAAAATTCATTATGGTTGGTTCCCGAGGCCCTGTCTACACTGTATATAAAATACAGAATTATCCGGGTTGTTGTAGGTTTTTTTGGGCTATATGGCCATGTTCAAGAGGCATTCTCTCCTGACGTTTTGCCTGCATCTATGGCAAGCATCCTCAGAGGTTATGAGGTCTTTGACAATACACAGAATTATCTGCTTTGAACTGGATTGTATGCATGGCACTGTAGACCCATATAATCCAGTTCAAAGTAGATAATTTGGATTATCCGCTTTGAGAAATCTGGATTATACGGCAGTCTAGGTGGAGCCCGAGTCTCCAGAACCCCAAGGTTTCTGACTGTCAGCAAACCCAGTTGAGTCCCCGGTGGCGCAGTGGGTTAAATCCCTGTGCCCGCAGGACTGAAGACCGACAGGTCGCAGGTTCGAATCCGGGGAGAGCGTGGATGAGCTCCCTCTATCAGCTCCAGCTCCTCATGCGGGGACATGAGAGAAGCCTCCAACAAGGATGGTAAAACATCAAAACATCCGGGCGTCCCCTGGGCAACATACTTGCAGACGGCCAATTCTCTCACACCAGAAGCGACTTGCAGTTTCTCAAGTCACTCCTAACACGAAAAAAAAGCAAACCCAGTCAAGAACAATTTATTTATTTATTTATTATTTATTTATTTATTATTTGCATTTATTGACCGCCACTCTCAGCCCGAAGGCGACTCGTGGCGGTGTACAAAACATAAAACATATAGACAACAATTACAGTAATCAGGTCCATAACACAACATCTTACTAACACACAGCTACTTAAACTAAAAATCCGCTTCGTCTTGTTTGGGTCATAATCAGTCTCATAGTCCTAGTCCATTCCGGTGGTCATTCCAAAACATAGCACTTAATTGAAGGCCTTTTCAAAGAGCCAAGTTTTCAGGCCCTTGCGAAAGGCCATAAGGGAAGGCGCCTGTCTAATTTCGGCAGGGAGGGCGTTCCACAGCCGGGGGGCCACCACCGAGAAGGCCCGCTCTCTAGTCCCCGCCAGGGCTTCAAACAATGGCTTCAAACTACAAGAAAGGAGATTCCATCTGAACATGAGGAAGAACTTTAGCATAATGTCTTTAATATTTGTTGAATTATTCAGGTTTTATATGTGTAACACTTGGAATTTGGCTTACTGATCTGTGTGTATAACATTATATATATATATATATAGAGAGAGAGAGAGAGAGAGAGAGAGAGAGAGAGAGAAAGAAAAAAGATTCCATCTGAACATGAGGAAGAACTTCCTGACTGAGAGCTGCTGCTCCGGAGGGAGTATGGTGGAGGCTCCTTCTTTGGAAGCTATTAAACAGAGGCTGGATAGCCATCTGTCGGGGGTGCTTTGAATGCAATTTTCCTGCTTCTTGGCAGGGGGTTGGACTGAATGGCCCATGAGGTCTCTTCCAACTCTATGATTCTATGATTCTACAGGCTATGATTCTACAGGCTGATAGTCTCATCCGCTGGGAATGTAAACAGAGTCTCCCAGGAGGGCTTGGGTGAGACCCTCCCTGTTCAGCATGGAGTCAGACTAGATGGGGTTCCCTCCCAACTCTAGTGGATCACAGACTGCCTTGGAGTCTGATAGTCTCCTCCTCTGAATGTCTAAACATAGTCTGCCAGGAGGGCTTGGGTGAGACCTTCCTCCCTGTTCAGCATGGGGTCAGACTAGATGGCCTTTGGGGTTCCCTTCCAATTCTGGGATTGTCTGAGAGGGAGGCTTGATTTCTCTGGCTGGCTCGGCGGCGGTTGCGGCGGGGGTGGAGCGCCCCCTGCTGGGCGCGAGGCGGGGGCGAAGGGAGCGGGCTTGGCCAGCCTCCCTTCCTCCTCTCTGGCTTTGCCTTTTCCTCTTCCTCGGCGGGGAGGAAGCAGTCGGAGAAGGAGCCGAAGGAAAAGGACGACTCCCGGGCCGAGCGAGGGGCGCCTCCTCCTCCTCCTCCTCCTTCCCCGTGGGCCATGTGCTGGGCAAAGGCAGCGCCTGGGCTTCTGCCTGGCCAGAGAGACCAAGGTTGGCACCGCTGAGAGCCGAAAGAAGACCCGGAGGCAAGGTGGGCAAAAAGAGGGTCCTGCTTTCCCTGTCCTTCTCCGAGGGAAAGAAGAGCTTGTGTCGGAGGGAGATTGTGGGGAGAAAGGATGGAGGAGAAGCCCCAGCCTCGGAGGCGGCAGAGGCTCCCTTGAAGAAGCCTCTGCGAGGAGAAAAAGGAAAGGGAGAAAGAAAGGAGGAGGAAGGAAAGAGCCTCTCCAAGAAGAAGAAACAGGAAAGGGAGAAGGAAAGAAAGAGCCTCTCCAAGGAGAAGGAGTAGTAAAGGGAGAAGGAAAGAAAGAGCCTCTCCAAGGAGAAGGAGTAGCAAAGGGAGAAGGAAAGAAAGAACCTCTCCAAGGAGAAGAAGCAGGAAAGGGAGAAGGAAAGAAAAAACCTCTCCAAGGAAAAGGAGTAGCAAAGGGAGAAGGAAGGAAAGAGCCTCTCCAAGGAAAAGGCACTGTGGAAGGAGCCTTTGCAAAAAGAGAAGGAAAAGGAAGAAGCAGGAAGCCCTCCAAGAAGAGGGAGAAGGAAAGAAAGAGGCTCTCCAAGGAGTAGCAAAGCGAGAAGGAAGGAAAGAGCCTCTCCAAGGAGAAAGCAGCCTTTGCAAAAAGAGAAGGAAAGGGAAGAAGCCCTCCAAGAAGTAGCAAAGAGAGAAGGAAAGAAAGAGCTTCTCCAAGGAGAAGGCACTGTGGAAGGAGCCTTTGCAAAGGAGAAGGAAGAAGCAGGAAGCCTCTCCAAGAAGAAGGAAAGGGAGAAGGAAGGAAAGAACCTTCCCAAGAAGAAGAAGAGGCAAAGGACGAAGCAGGAAGCCTCTCCAAGGGAAAGGAGCAAAGGACAAAACAGGAAGCCTCTCCAAAGAAGCAAAGGGAGAAGGAGGAAGGAACCTCTCCAAGAAGAAGAAGCAAAGGGAGGAGGAAGCCTCTCCAAGAAGAAGACGGCACTGTGGAAGGAGCCTCTCAAAGAAGAGTAAGCAAAGGGAGAAGGAGGAAAGAGCCTCTCCAAGAAGGAGAGGGCACTGTGGAAGAAGCCTCTCCCAAAAAGCCAAGGCTTGGGTTGGTTCTTGGGCTCCTTCCCGGCTGTTTTTCCTCCCGGAGGGTCCTGGAAAGATGATGCCCCCTCCAGGCTTGGCCCGCTTTGCCCAAGGCTCGAGCCACGGAAGAAGGCGGCGGGAGGTGAAGGAATAAACCCGCCTCGACCAAAGAGCCTCCCCTAACCCCCGCCGACAGGATTGGGGGGCTTCCTGGGGTTGTGCCCCCCACTTCCCTGCTGTCTTTGGGGCTCCAAAGTCCCCCCCTTTTTGGTTTGGATTATTCGCCTCCCTTCTCCGGCTGCTCTTCGCCTCGCCCGGGTTCCTCCTGGGACGCTTACCTCACCTCGACAACGACCTCAGGACTGTAAGTGCCCTCGGAGACACCCGTTGGGGGGTTGTGGGGGGTTATACGGGGGTAACGAAGGGATTAATGCACCTATTTTGTGTAGGTTGGGGTTCAATGTTGTCTTGTCCCCTCTTTGGGAAGGTTTTGGAGAAGCCGTCTTTTGCGCCTTTGTGAGTCGCGTTTGGAGAGGAAAAAAAGAGAGGCTGGGTTTCAAATCAAAGGGGGAAATTCAAGTTCTGTTTAGGGGAGAAGCAGGCTCGGGTTCTGGTCTGAGAAAGGGGGTGTTCAGCTATGTTTTAGGGGTGTCTTTTATGGTTTGGCTGTCATCGCCGCTCTCCATGCGACCCCGTTTCTCTGGAGATGTTTTTGGGATGCGCTTTGGAGGGACTCTCCACATTTGGAGAGGTTCTGTTTGTCTGTTTCCTCTCTTCTCTGTCCCCATTTGGAAGGGGGCACCCCTCAACCCGACCCAAGCACCCTCAAACCCGGCCTCCGGTTGGAGACAAAGGCAAAGAAAGGGGAAAAGATGGGAGGAAAAGGGAGAGGAAGGGGGGAAAAGAGGAAGAAAAGCGATGCGCTTTGGAGACGCGCGCCAGAGGGATTCTCGTTGCGCCCTGGTCGAAGTTAGCAGCGTTGCTCAGGCTATTTACCTGGTAAATTGGGCAGAAAAAAGACTTGAATCCCTCGAAATGGGGAAGGGCACATAGGTGTGTGTGTGTAGGGACATTGGTTGGGGGTCACTGTCTTACATTCTCTTAATTTGAAGGTAGAAATTGGTCCCTTTTGGCACGCGCCTTTCGCCAAACCAGACTTGCCAGGTTACCAAAGTGTGCACTTTGGTCTGCTTCAAGCTGGGGAGGGAATTACCTTTCAATATCTCCCTTTTTTGATACCCTAAAGGCACCAAATATTGCCTGACTAAAGGCACCAAATATTGCCTGATTCTGCAAGCTAAGCAGGGTCAGCTCTGGTTAGGACTTGAAGGAGATACCACCCAATGAATATCATCTACCATAAGCTCTATTTCCAAGGAAAGAATGGGCAAAACCACCTCTAGGAAAAGCCCTGAAATTCATGAAGTGAAGGCACATAAACACACCTATGATGATTAACTATTAAACATTTTTGGCTGGGTACAAAACTGAATGCCTTAAAGGTACCTCATTGCATCTGATCTTGAAAGCTAAGCAGGGCCAGCTCTGGTTAGGACTTGAAGGAGATACCACCCAATGAATACCATCTACCATAAGCTCTATTTCCAAGGAAAGAATGGGCAAAACCTCTAGGAAAAGCCCTGAAATTCACAAAGAGAAGGCACATTACACACACCTATGATGATTACCTATTAAACATTTGTGGCTGGATGCAAAACTGAATGCCTTAAAGGTACCTCATTGCATCTGATCTTGAAAGCTAAGCAGGGCCAGCCCTGCTTACTATTTGAATGGGATGCGACCAATGAATGTCATCTGCCATAAGCTCTATTTCCACAGAAAGAGTGGGCAAAACCACCTCTGAGTTTTCCTAAGAAAAGCCTTGAAATTCATGAATTCACCATAGGCTGGCAGACAGTTGAAGGCACACACCTATGGTGCCTTAAAGATACCCCACTGCAACTGATCTTGAAAGCTAAGCAGGGCCAGCCCTGGTTAGGATTTGGAGGGGAGGCCACCCAATGAATACTATCTACTACAAGTTATATTTCCACAGAAAGAATGAGCCAAACCACTTCTAAGAAAAGCCTTGAAATTCTTGAAGTCACCATAGGCCAGCAGATGAATTGAAGACACACACACACACACGTTGATTAACAATTAAACATTTGTGGCTGGATACAAAACATAATGTCTTAAAGTTACCTCATTGCAGCTGATCTTGAAAGCTAAGCAGGGCCAGCCCTGGTTAGTATTTGGAGGGGAGACCATCCAATTAATACCATGTACCATAAGCTTTACTTCCAAGGAAAGAATGAGCAAAACCACCTCTAAGGAAAACCTTGAAATTCATGAAGTCACCATAGGCTGACAGATGAGATGTCAACACATATACACCCATGATAATGTTTATTATTATCGACTATATGGCCCCTTCTACACTGCCCTTATATCCTAGATTATCTGCTTATGCCAGATTATATGGCAATGAAGACTCATATAACCCAGTTCAAAGCAGATAACCTGGGATCAGAACCTGGGATATAAGGACAGTGTAGAAGGGGCCTGCCTTTCTCCCCATAGGGACTCCAGGTGGCTCACAAATATAACCCACTTAATAAAAATGTTAAAATAAGACGAATATAACAATTTTAAAACCCAAACAATTAAATATGTGTGTCAAGACACAAAAGTCAATGCCTTAAAGGTATCTCATTGCATCTGATCTTGACAGATAAGCCCTGGTTAGTATTTATGTAATTGGGAGACCATCAGTGGATAGCAAGTGCTGTTGACTCTCAGTCAGAGGACTAGACTGGCAAAACCGCCTAAGAAAACCCTCTGAGTTTCCTGGAATCACCATAAGTCGACAGGTGTCACACATATGACTAAAAGGCCTTAAAGGCATGAGATCCCACCTGATCTTGGAAGCTAAGCAGGGTCAGCCCTGGTTAGTAATTGGAGGAGAGACCACCACCAATACTAGGTGCCATAGGGTGTTTTACAGCGGAGGGTAATTGCAAACCGTCTGCACATTCCTTGCTTAAGAGAGCCCTCTGAAATGCATGGGGTCACCATAGGGCAACAGGCAACTTGAGCGTGCAGACACAACCTTTCTTTTTCCTTGTCCTCTGTCCAGCTGGAAGGTTTGTAACAGCATCAACGTTAGGGAGATGGTAAAGGAGATTTTGTTAATGGAGATTATATCTGTAGTGAGAACAAAGCGTTTCTTGATGCCGGTAAATTTGTAGGGCAGTCGCATAGCAAAATTCACTCCCAAGGCACTCCTAAGAATGAAGTACCTTTGAGCATGTGCAGAGTGCTTACAGTGTATTGTTGAAGGCTTTCATGACTGGAATCACTGGGTTGCTGTGAGGTTTCTGGGCTGTATGGCCATGTTTCAGAAGCATTCTCTCCTGACATTTTGCCTGCATTTATAACAAGCATCCTGAGCGGTTGTGAGGTGTGTTGGATAGTAGGCAAGTGAAGTTTATAGTGCTTCGTTTGGTAGTCCCTATATAGACTTGTCTACAGCTGCAAGGTATACAGTAGACTCCTGCAGAGGTGAAATTTATTTATTTACATACTATATTTATATACCGTCCTTCTTAGCCCGCAGGTGACTCGGGTCGGTGTACAGTTGGCAACAAGACCATAAAATACAATTTCAATACCATAAAAACAGAAAATATAAAACCATAGCAAAGTCAATTAAAAACACATATCATTAGGGTCTCCATTGTCCAGTCACATTGTCAACCATTCCATTTTCCTATGTCTGTTACACTGTATTTGCAAACGCCTGCTCAAAAAGCCAAGTCTTCACTCTTCTTTGAAAGGTCAAAATGGAGGGGGCCAATCTGATATCCTCAGGGAGGGTGTTCCATAGCTGAGGCGCCACCACTGAGAAGACCCTGTCTCTTGTCCCCGCCAAACGTAGTTGTGACAAAGGTGGGACCAAAAGCAGGGCCTCCCCAGATGATCTTAAAGTCCTGGAAGGTTCATAAGGAGAGATGCGTTCAGACAGATAAGTTGGGCCAGAACCATTTAGGGTTTTATAGGCTAAAACCAGCACTTTGAATTGTGCCCGGTAGCAGATTGGCAGCCAGTGGAGCTGCCGCAACAGAGAAGTTGTATGCTCCCTGAGCACTGCTCCTGTTAGTAATCTGGCTGCCATCCATTGGACCATTCAAAGCTTCTGAACAGTCTTCAAAGGCAGCCCCATGTAGAGAGGGTTGTAGTAGTCTATACGGGATGTATTTATTTATTTATTTACTTTATTTATATACCGCTTTTCTCAGCCCTCAGGCGACTCAAAGCGGTGAACAACATCAATACAAAACATCACAAGACAAGTATAGGGCAATTAAAAATAATTGTAACATAAATCATTAAACAGCCGTATAACAATCATTAGCGCCTCAACAGTAAAATCAGAATCCAGTCTCATCATCCATTATTCCATATTCCTATGTTCAATTACACTGTTTAATCAAATGCTTGTTCGAACAGCCAGGTCTTCACTTTCCTCCGGAATGCCAGCAGGGAGGGGGCCGATCAGATATCTGCAGGCAGGGCGTTCCACAGCCGAGGGGCCACCACTGAGAAGGCCCTGTCTCTCGTCCCTGCCAAGCGTGCCTGTGATGCAGGCGGGACAGAGAGCAGGGCCTCCCCAGATGATCTTAGTGTCCTAGCCAGTACATAGGAGGATATGCGTTCGGAGAGGTAAGTAGGGCCAGAACTGTTTAGGGCTTTATAGGCTAATGCCAGCACTTTGAATTGTGCCCAGTAGCAAACTGGCAGCCAGTGGAGCTGGCGCAACAGAGGAGTAGTATGCTCCCTGAGTGCCGCTCCTGTTAGCAACCTGGCTGCCGAACGCTGGACCATTTGAAGCTTCCGAGCAGTCTTCAAAGGCAACCCCACGTAGAGAGCGTTGCAGTAGTCTGTACGGGATGTAACCAGACCGTGGACTACTGTGGCCAAGTCAGACTTCCCAGCACAAGCTTTAACTGTGCAAATGCTCCCATGGCCACTGCCGAGATCTGGGGTTCCAAGCTCAACAATGAATCAATGATCACACCCAAGCTGTGTGTGATCCCTCTTGTCCTTTGCTAAATGTAGCATTTTTGGATTTTCTTAGTGGGTCTGTAGATAGTTTGTAGGATACATCGATAGATAGATGGATGGATGGATAGATAGATAGATAAATAGATAGATAGATAGATAGATAGATAGATAGATAGATAGATGATAGATAGGGTGCCTACAGCTCTGTAGGCCTGAAACACAATTCCCAGAGATAGGCATTGAACTTCCAGATCTTGTTTTAGAAACCAGGCTTTTCGCATGACTAAGAATTGGTGG